TACTTGCTGGGAGCTCCCATAGCCAGCAGCAGTTCAGATATTACAAGCAACATATCAACCAAGACATTTGTGCAAGGCACAGGTAGCAGCTTTTGTGACCAATAACACCATTCCTTAAATTCTAACTGCTTGTCACTGTGTAAGGATTTACTTTATTGCACGTGGATTAAACAACAGGTTTAATGCCTCTCAGAAAAGAGATGGCATTTATTCTAACATGCACTTTAAAGATTGTTTCCCTAAAATGTACGATGCAGGCATGATATTAATCATCTGTATTACATGCATTGCACACATATTTAGTTTTAATTAGGAAGCATCTCATTTCTCGCAGTCTTTTTTCACAGTAGACAACTGCAAGTGTCTGGAGTGAAGGCAGGAGCATAGAAACTGTTTAATATCACTGTTGCTAATGCAAATTTCTCACTGAAGCCAGGATGCTTACTCACACACAATCCTACTCCAGCTGAGCAGTTCAGCTGCAAGTGCAGAAAATGCATTTCAGATACACACACCAAGTAATGTGTGTTCTTAATATCTGCTCCATTTTGGTTCCAGCTGAAAACCACCTTTACACCCCACGACTTTAAGGAGAAGTTATCCAAGAAAAACACAACACCTTTAATCTTCATTCCCAGCCCTTTGGATACACACTGAGATACTGAGATCCAGCCTTCAGTTGTAAACAGACAAACAAAAATCCCCTTCCTCATTTTCACATCTCTGAAATAACAGTAAATAAGAGGATTTTAATAAATTGTTTAGACACTGGCAAGATACAAAACTGCAGGGGAGGGAGGAGCAAGGCTTACATGATGCAAGCTCATCACTCCCATCCCCTTCTTCTTGTTACTGGATTTGAACTGCCCACTTTGCTACAGAAGGGCACCAGGGCATCTCTCAGTAAGCCAACAACTAATGCAAATGACTTCACATCGTATTTCAAGATAGCAAGACTATTGAGCATGTGCTACTCACCTGAAAGAGGCAGTCAAAGACTAACTTCTTTATTTTCATGTGAAATACAGTCTACAGACATGTTTAGAAAAAAATATGGAGCTGCTGTCAGGTCACGTTAGACCACTTTCTTACTTAAAACAAAAACACAGCTTGCTGGTAAAGAGGGAAAGATAAAGGTTTTATTAAACCATACTTAAAGGATGCTGTCAAGACATTTAAGAATAAAATCACAGAACCACAGAATCCTTAGATTTGGAAGGGACCTCTGAAGGCCATCATCCCCCCAGCTTGTATTGGTAATGAGGGTCACCTCAACCCAGGTGCAGAACTTATGTTTGGATGTGTTGAACCTCATGAGGTTCATCTGGGCCCACTGCTCAAGCCTGTCCTGCCCCTCTGATGGCATCCCTTCCCTCCCTGTGCTGTACTGAACAGACCCCACAGCTTGGTGTCATCAGCAAACTTGCTGAGGGTGCCCTCAGCCCCACAGTTGATGTCACTGATGAAGACATTAAAGAGCATCAGCCCCAGCACCGACCCTTGGGAGACATCACTGATCTCCATCTGGACACTGACTGCCACCCTCTGGACTCAACCCTGCACCAGTTCTTCATTCACTGAAGATTCTGCCCATCAAACCCACATCTCCCCAGTTTGGAGAGAAGGGTTTTGTGGGGTACCGTGTCAAAGGCCTCAATGAAGTCGAGTTAGATGACACAAGTGGCTCTTCCCTTGTCCACTGATGCAGTGATATCACAGTCAGAATTTCACAACATAAAAAGGAAGCACATCTATTAGTTGTAACAGCAACTGCTCCATGTTGAAGCAACAGACACCAGTTTCCTCTGCTCTTACTAGAGAAATCTGATGAGAAGTGCCGAGTGAAGAAACAAGCCTGTTCCATGCATCCTGCTGTGCACTAATGCCTTACTGCTTCAGTGTTTCTACTTTCATTTGGTGGCTGGCAGGAAGACACCTCTTAAATAGAACAAAAACAATTCTGCTGTCTTCAAGTGCATGACACTCCATCCAGAGATCTATTAGCAACAGAGTGAAGGCGTTGGTAATGGATGAGCAGCAGACAATGCAGCTTCAAGCATGTGGCGCAGAACAGAGCTGTGTGCCAGCAGGAGATGACAGTGCTCAGATGATTTCTTGCTATTACCACTTTTAGCAGACAATTTTTCTCCTTCCCTCTTTTTACCGCAGTAAACCTTGAAATGATAGCTAAGGAAATGCTACAAAACGATAGACTCAACAGATTAATTTTACGTTTGCATATTTTTGCAGAGTAGTTTATCACAACTTCAAGTTTTCTCCACACTAAATTGATACAGTGCTGGAAACTCTGGTAAGCACAGAGAGCAGGAACTCAAGGTGTCACAACAGAAACGCACCCAAGCTCCCGCACCGCCAACCAATCCGAAATCCTTGGTGAACTCATGGATAGCTACATCAATAGAAAATGCCTGGAAATATTTTTGGGGTGCTGGTGAGGTGTGCCTGTCCTTTCTCTTCAGCTAAGAAAACAGCTTAAAAATATCAACCCACTGATGCTGTTAGTGTTATCTTTAAGTGAGCAATGCTCAGGCATTATGTAGCAATGACTTTTAACAGAGCACTGGGAGACTACTGGTATAGCCTCAGCCTTTCTTGAAGGGAGAAAAATGATGAAGCCTGTGATGCCTTATTTCTTCACAAAGACTTTTTGCTGTTTATTTGTGAAAGCATTTTTTAAAAGAAGCAGTGGTGTCCTTTCACAGAAAGAAGTCACCAACTCCAAAGCTGGAGAAACTGTAAAAATATACATTAGTTTGAGCCTGCAATGTGCAGGAAGCAATGCTCTGTCAGGCTCTGAAAGGAACAGCCAACAAAGACAACCATCCAACAATCACTGCTGCTGTCTCCTCTTCAGATCTCAGCTAGCAACCAGCATGTTGTGGTTCCACCTGGACAACACTTAATTGGCACTGACCAGGTGATAAAAGATTGAAAGAGGTGATAAAGGTGCCTTTGAGGGCTCTGTGCTCCCTGCTGTTATAACTCACCTGCACAGCATGCCCATAAGGAGAAGGAAAAAAAGTGCAGCTACACAAGCAGGTTCCTTTTAGTTACCTTCTGTTTCTTTGCCCTGCTAACTGCACCTGTGCTCCTCCTCCTTCAGGAATCTCCTCTCCTACTCCAAACACAAGGGATTCTTCCACATTCATTTGCATAAGCTTGACAGTTTTGTGCAGACTTGTTTCACTTCTAAATATTACAATGTTACAATTATAATGAAGAATTATGAAACCATTTGAACAACACGTTGGGTACATTTACTTGTGCATACGCATGGTGTTAAAACAAAATACAAGAGACTAGAATCAAAGGAAAACAAAGTACTGTACAGATGGCAAAAAAAATCTACAGCTGAAAGGTTGCTGAATGCACAATTACTCAAAGCAGCTTCTACTTTTTTTTTGTTTGTTTGCTTTTTTTTTCCTTTTTTTTTTTTTTTTTTCCTCCTTACACTATAATTTCAGGGCTAGTTTCAATGTTATCCTAAAACCTCCTAATTCATTCCTCCCCCAGTGATCTCCACTTCACTCTCTTTTTGCTAGGTTTAAAATAGCATTTTGATTTTTTTTTCGGTTATGCAATGACTTGCAGAGATGTTTGCATTGCTTTTATCTAGTTTAAACCCCACACATGCTGCTTACTGCAATATTTGCTCCCTCTAAGTACCTATGAAGTTGAAAAGGAGACATTACACAAACTTCATCAGGACCATGGATCTGATTTGTGTAATTAAAGATGAATATCACAATCCAAACTTCTTACTACAGAGACAAAAACAGTAAGATATTTTGTGCATGTACTAGGTTGTATTTCATCATAAAAACACAGAACCAATGTCATAGAAGAGCTTTCTCCCTCCAGTGAAGATTCTAAAGACTATAGAAAAGTGTTTTCTTGCACTTTCTTGCCAAACGAATTTCAATATCTTTTGGTTTTCACTCTATTTTAGACTGCCTGTAGTCCTACAATGCTTTATATCCCCAAATCAGCTGTGCTTCAGTACTTGTTGGGTACTCCAGTGCATCATCCTAAACTTCTTTGTGGATAACATGTACTTCTCTGAAGAAAAAAGAGCCAACTCAAACCAGTAACTCAAGTGTTCAATATTCAGTGTTAAACATCTGCTTGCTCTTCCCCAGAAACAACATTCAAACTCGCAGAAAAGAACTCCCATGAAGTTTCCTTCCTTCTGATGACGTTGTGCTCTGCAGATCAATGGTGTTTACACCACCCCATGCCTTCTCCCCACTTCTCACATCCCTCAAAAATATACAATGAAATTTAGCCCCAATAAATGGTCAGAAACAAACATTTCCTAACGGAAATAATGAGTAATGATTTAGTTAAACAGAAAAGACTGCTTAAGAAGAATTTAGGGACAGAGCTAACATACACTGTGATGGATGATCATTAACAGTTGATGCCATTCCAGCACTACTTTGGGTCTCTGGGGAAGAACAGCATGTGAATGCTTTGCAAAGGCTCAGTTGTTTGCTAGCTGTAGGTGAAAAGCTCATTCGAGAGGTGGGGCCCAGGAGGGCCCAGACATGTAAGGTGAGAAAAGAACACTGCAGAAATTGAATGGCATAGGTGAATGTTGGGGGCTGGGGAAAGGATCTGAGTTTACCTACAGAATACAACATAACTGGGGGAGGAGCAGTAACCAGCCAGTCACTGAGACAAGAGTTCTACTACCTGCAATTTTAGCCACACCTTCAGATATTACCTTGGATAAACTTTGGCTAATAACAGAAGGTACCAGAGCTGGCCTGTTTAGCTCTCTGCTACACTGCAGCGTAACAGAAATGGGGAAAGAACAGAACCTGAACTAGAAGTTCTGATGTGAGAGAACTGAGATACGCTGATAGATCAAAAGATTCATCAAATTAACTACTAAAAAGCAGAGATTTTAGACTAGCCACATTTATTCTATGAAGCTACTGGAAAATTTCATTATAAAATCAAATAGCACACCATACCTGAGTCAGAACATCCAGCTGTCCTATAATATGCTCCAAGGTATCTGCAATATGGACATCCTCCTCTGGCCGTTCATGGTTCCTACCAGTATCCTGAGATTTTGTTTTCTTAAGATGAACACCACAATCCATTTCTGATGGCTAAAAAAATAAACAGATACAGTCTGCTACTGCAACAGAAACAACCGGAAAAGATTTTCTGTTTTATGGAAGGTAAACACTGAAGGACAATTTATGGTGGGAAACAGTCTGAGAGGTCAAGAGAAAATCAAGTGTTTGTTCTTTGTTCTTGCCATGGCTGAAAAAAGAAAAGCTGCTGCAAACTCATCTGCCTTCACAGTCTGGAGTGGCATGATTTTTGTTGGCAGTATGTGGTGCATTTTCTTTTTAAAGCCTGCATTAGGAAAGGCAAAGCTTAGATAACAATACTGAAGCAATCCTGAAAGGCTCAAGTTCTGTATGATCAAAGAGCTTTGCGTGCTCATGTACAGCCACAGACTGTGCTGGTAAATGGATATTCAATGGAGCCACACAGTGCTATCTCTAAACTGTAGAATTAAATAAGCTACCTGACAGGAGTCAAATTATTCAATTCTAACAGCGTAAGGAAGAAAAGGTTTAGTGCCTTGTGCAGCAAAAGGTTCCCTCCACGGTCTGTTAGTTGTAAGAAAGCAATGATGTAGAACTGAAGCTCAGCTAAAGCAAAATGATCCAACATGCATTACAGACACAGCTTTGATTTAACCCTGATAATTTATCTTCTTTTAACTTGAACCAGTTTTCCCTCCCCAGTGAGATTAACTGTACAAGATTACTTTGAAATTTCAATTTCAATTGTTTTAGTTATGCAAGTCTGAATATTCCATTCAGAAGAAAATTTTAAAAACATATACAGATCTTTACTAAGGAGCTTTTTCTTTCAAAATGCTGTACTCCTTCTAGAACAAATGCTATTTGTGTTAATTGTCTGCATTATCACCAGCAAAAGTTTAGAGTTCATCTAACTGAACAATTTAGCCAACCAACACACTAGTCTGCAATTGCAGACAACTTCCTTACCTTACACTGACAGCCATTACTTGGTATAAACCTGAGAACTCAGAGCTTAAAACGTGGCTCTCCACGGCCTGATGCCCAGTGCAGTTCTATCCCATGGATGGGACTTACTGCTCATGGAAAGGGCAGAAGTTTGGAAAACTGACAAAAAAGAAAGGGATCCAGATAGACTGAAAAACAGTCTCTACATAGCTTCCATTTCTACATTCACACACATTGCTGTGAAGGCATTTTTAATGCTGCACTTAATCATTCACCTCTCAGCATTTAATGCAAAAAAACCATTTAGAATGTTTCACGTAACTTTAAAACCAGAAATGTTTAGCATAGCAAGATTTCTTTTCAGATAAAAACATAAAGAGAGTCTACAGGCACTCGGCTCACTGCCTTTTCAATCAAGGCTGGCTGGAAATGCACGTCCAGGCAGAACATGTTCCCTGGGACAGGACACACAAAGCCCAACCATCGTTACCACGTGCAGTGAAAGGCCACCAACACACTGCTCACACACAGCTGGGTGGCACTGTCAGAAAGGCTCCTGTGGCTGCTATCCAGCCCCCCAGTTAAGCAAAGTAAGCAACAAACAGTGCGATGAAAGAGACACTGGACTACAAGAAGAGAGAGGTAATAGGCTTTGGCAGAACTCCTGCTGCTGTCCACTACCTGCTTTTAAGAGCTGCACTCCACTGCAACCAAGCCATCAAAGACTATCCGGAGTCCTTGGCCAGCACGGATCAGACTGCAAAGCCCAGTCACAGGTTTGTGCTGCAGGTAGCCCAAGAGCCATGTGTTGTTCACTGATGCACTAATTTAAACAACTAAAACCATGAACTCTTACAGACACCACCTGATCGCTGCTCACAAAGAGCCAGGCAGAGAAACTGAGATCAGCTCGCTCCAACCTCTTACTCATCCCACCTGCTTGGATGGAATGAAGATACACTCTGAAATCTGGGACCTCTCTGAGGAGGCCTCTCCAAGAGCGCTGCATAAGGTACACAACAAAGGTTAAGAATCTGCCCAACACAGGCACAAGATAATCTCACTAAAAACGCCTGCAAACCCTCATCTCATAACACCTGAAAACATTCAGCAATAAATGCAGCCCACAACATACACAGAAGAATCACAGAACAGAATCATAGAATCCTTAGAGTTGGAAGGGATCTCTGAAGGCCATCCAGTCCATTGCCCTTTAACAAACAGGGACGTGCACAGCTAGGTCAGGTTGCCCACAGCTTGATCCAGCCCCACTTTGAAAGTGTTCAGGGATGGGACATCAACCACGTCACTGGGTAACTTGTGCCAGCACCTCACCACCCTCACTGCAGAAGACTTATCACTTATATCCAACCTAAATCTACCAACTTTGAGCTTGAAGACATTTCCCCTTGTTCTCTCACCACAGACCCTGCTGAAGAGTCTGTCCCCTTCTTTCCTGTTGTTGACAAACCACTATCAGGTCACCTCTCAGCCTTCTCTGGTCACGTTGCACAGCACCAGCTCAGCCTGTCCTTGTAGGAGAGGTGTTCCATTCCATGGATCATTTCCGTGGCCCTTCTCTGGACACACTCCAACAGGCCCACATCTCTCCACATCTCCACAGGACTCCCCATCTGGATGCTGTACTTCAGGTGAGGCCTCAAAGCACAGAGCAGGGGGTCAGGATCAGTTCCCTGCCCTGCTGGCCAAACTTCTTTTGATACAGCCCAGGATACAGTTGGCTTTCTGGGTTGCAAGAGCACAGTGCTGGCTCACGTCCATCTTCCCATCCACCATCCACATACAATCACAGAATGGCCCAGGTTGGAACAGACCTCAAGGATCATGAAGCTCCAACCCCCGTATCTAATGCTAGACCAGGCTGCCCAGAGGCCCCATCCAACCTGGCCTTGAACACCTCCAAGGACGGGGCATCTGCAAATCCACCAGCACACAGGTGAGACTGACAGGTAGGTAGTTCCCAGGGTCATTCTGAAATGCTTCAGAATTTCCAACATTACTGAAAATGGTTTAGTGACTACAACACCAATTCCCTCAGGCCTCTGGATGCATCTCACTGGGACCCACAGATTTGTGGGTGTCTATGGGACAATGGTAAAGGATGGGCTTACCACCAGCTCAACAAAGGTGGCCTGCTTCCTCTCAAAGTCACAGCACTTTCCTTTTTATCTGTTAAACCAGAGCATGTGCATCCCATTTGGATCAGCTTCAGACTTCCCACGCCAAAACATACTCTTTCTTTTAAGTGAATGAAAGCTTCTCCTGCGTTAAGAAAGCACAAATAGGACATCATTGGAGCAGATGCCACAGTGCTTATGCACCACAAAAACTGAGCGGACCTTGAAAATTTAGTCTGACATACATTTTAGAAAGTTTCCAAATATTTAAATGAGATAAAACTCTTCTCTTTCCGTTCTTTCATGGAAAGAGACTGCAATGCTCAGCGTGACAGGTTACCTTCCACAAGCAGCCTACCTCCACTCCTGTCACAGGTCAAATACAGAAGTGGCACTAGTTGGAGCTACTGGGTTAAGGCAACAATGCCACATCTCTATCACACTGTCCAAAGAGCCTCCAAATTTGACAGTGGTGAACGTTATTGTGACGCTGTTCAGGGGAAGGCCTGCCCCTGTATTTTAACAAGAACAATAACAGCAAATACATGCACGTAGCAATTGGACAGATCAATACAATGGGAAAGGCATTACAACAGAGGGGTGATGACAGGAGGACCAAAACAACAGAAAGGTGCTATGAAGGAAGGGAAGAAGACTGCTCACCTGGATCAGAAAATCCTAGGTTTACAGGGGAAAGCTTCACCAAGGAGGGATCTCCAACCACAGACCCTTCCCCACCAGCAGTCAGCCCTTCAATGGGGTCTAAGAGAGGTGCAGCCAGGCTCCAACCCTTCCTGTCTCACAGCTCAACTGCCTTCACCTGTGCTTCCAGGGCTGACGGTCCTTTCCTCAGGTGCTCAATCAGTGGTTCAGACCAGGACTCAACAGTTCCCATACAATGCATATATGTATATATTTCCCATTTGGTAAAAGAACATTACATCAGCCCCACTGTTGTTCATAAAAATGGTGAAAGAAACCCCCTCAAAGACCAGACTACAACTATCCTAATCTTAATAGAAATCTAGACGCTGTGGTGAACCAGACACTACTGATTTCAATTCAAACAGATATCTAGAAAGTTGCAAAGAAATACAGAAAGAGCCCTGGAATGGGAACTAACTTATATGACAGTCTGTGCTGTGAAACACTGTGGCTGCACAGAAACCTGAGGTCCCATCTGACTCAGCCGGACGGCACAGTGCCAGCTGCATTCCACAGGCAGGCACCACAAGCAGCGACTGCTGTTGAGGTTTCATCTGTCTTAGTTTGAGTTCAAGTACACAGTAAATGAACAAATGTATTTGCCATTAAATACCTTATCACAACATCCACTTACTAAGCTCTGTGGGTACAGCAAGAAGCAGTTTAACATTACAAGAACAATGGATAAATAGTTTCAGCATATGATATAGCTCTTAGTGATGAGGCAGAAACTGAAGTGATTTACCCATGGCAACTTCTTAGCACAGTGCAGCTACTTGCTAGAAAGAGAAAATTCATCAGCCTTCATTCCAGAGCTCCCTTACTTAACCTTTCATGAAATCTTTAACGTTGTAACCAATTATTGTAATGCTGATGCGGAAGCTGAGGCAAGGGTTAACTACAGAATAGATTGCATCAGTAATGAAATTGCAGTGGATTATGCAAAAAAAATGCTGCTTTGTTCTCTATGTAGTGATATTTAGAAAATATACTGACAAGGTAAGCACCTACCTGTTTAATTGCACATCTACATCAGAAAATAGGATTCTCATCAATAAACCCTGTGGAAACATCTGTATGTTTTGGGGTTTTTTTTTGTTTTGTTTTTGTTTTTTCCCCTCTTCTCTTTGTTCCTGCCCACCAGAAAAGAACACTGGAGCAGTGGGAATAGGGGAGTTCAGCTTTACCTCCATCCTTTAAATCCCATTCGCAAAATAGTAACAAGGGCAGTCCTGTCAAAAGCACCTAAGCTGTGCGTTG